TTTAAGATGAAATGGAATATACTAAATAGTTTAAGCATTCAAGAATAAGTATTAGGTTGTTATAAAAAAACTACCTAATAATTTCAATTACAAAACTAATGTATTTGTTTATTTTTGGTGTTAAGTAAACATAAAATATGTTACATTGTGCTTTGAATTAAAATACAAATAATTTTTAATTATATTTTTAATCTTTAGTGCATATTTAAAGATTTAAAAGTAATTTTTGTCTATGCACTATATTTCAATGTTTTAGTAATAAATTAATTGATTCCAATTTACAAAATAAAATACAACATAAAATAAGTTACAGTACATAATTGACAACTGAAAAAGTACAGTTAATAATAATTGAATGCAAAGAGTTATTTACCACAAAAGATAGGTTACACAAATGTCCTTTTGGATTTGAATCAACTATAAAAGATATAGCTGAGCTTATTTATTTATTTACTTGTCTCAGCAGTTTAAATTTCTTGCAATATTTTTCTTGTAATAAAGAACATATTATAATTGAAATATAGAGTTTAATTATGTTTATAATGATATATAAATATTAAATATCAATGTTAATATATTCATTTGTATTTTATTGACAATTTGAAAAAATTGGTGAATCTTGGATGTGGTGAATTGGTATATTTTTTTTATGTTAACAGTCCATAATATAGTAGGATGCAAAATACMTTTTATACTCATATTAAACTAATMAYAMTWAAATTAGGGAAAAAATGTGTGTTAAGTAGATCAATCGAAATTAATCGTTGACCGGCTCATATTGAATAAATAATAGTATAATTATTTTCTTTTAATTTTGGTTAAAATTTACATTTTTAGAGCATAATTATCAATTAATTATTAATTATGAGAATTTTAATGCATATCAAAGGTTTTGATTTTTRAACCATTTATAAGAGYTATAAATCCACTACATAATTTTCCTAAACACAAAAGTTTTTATTTACCTGTAACAAACAATAAAATGAGCATAAGCGACTACAATCCAATTATGGTGAGCTTTGATGATTTGAACACGCAATGGATCAGCCCAGTTAGAACCTTGATTATAACCAAAAACCAAGTTTAATGCATCATTTCTAATATACTTATTGAGATCAGCTGATGAGTTTCTGGAATGGTGATTGGGTACATGGTTACCAAGAGAAGCTGCTCGTGAGTGTCCACTATTACCGTTGCCACGTCCATTAATGACTGATCCACGGCCATTTACAGTAACTCGAGAAATGTCTAAAGATGAGTTTCGTGAATGACAACGACTAGAAAAATGTTTTGCCATTTATAAGCCAATCTTTTATCTTAGAACTAATACTTTATGAAATATTGAATTGTAGATACTAGTTTTTATAGAATATTATATATTTATTTACCAACCTTTGATAACCATGAGTATGAGGTATTGATGATGGTGAATTTGGTGGTGGAGCTGGTTCAGGGACACGGACTATTGAACCAGGTCTTGTTTGATCATCTACTTTAGTTGCATTACTACTTATTTCGGACTCTTGCATAGGAGGATCTAAGAATATTATTCAGAAAAACATTTTTTTTTTTTTAAATTAAACTAATTAAAAGAAGATATTGGTAATAAAATAGAATACTAAATCGTAAAATTTAATACAATATAATATTCTTAACACTTTAAAAAAATGTATTTAATTATATTGAAATTTGTATTTACTTGGAGCTGGTAACATGCTATAAAACAGAATGTCCCCACATGACGATTGCTCTAGATCTTCACACAGAATGAGGCGTTTGACTAGAGGCATAATACCATAAAATTCCGCTTCATGGCGTAATGTTCTAATATCAGTACCAGACAAATCTATGTCATGTGTTCKTAAGTAGTTCAAAATTATGGCAAAAACTTTTGGATCACGATCTATGAATATAGCACCTGTATCATCCCGTAGACTAGAAATACGGCCACTTAAAAGAGCAGTAAAAAAAGAATCTGGTACCCACGTTAATGTTTGTCGAGATGTTGAGAACCTAGAGACAGATATTTTTGAATTAAGTATCATAATTGTTTTTAAGTTTAAATTAATTTCTAACATGTTTATTGGGATATTATTAATGGTTAACATAAGAAATATTCCATTAATAAGTAGGGATTTTGAATGTGAAATTGTCACATTAGTCTCATTAATAACATGGGGRAAAAAAGGAAAAGAGTTCAAGGAGGAAATAAAGATTTAAAATATAATGGGAAGATGAATTGAATTAGGTTTTTAAATAATAATAAAATTGAATGGTAATGTAACAATTGTATAATGTTTTAATGCATCTATCACTGAGTAAGCTAGAAAATGTATTTATTGTTTAAGTTAAGTATACATAATATCCTAAAGTATTATTTATATTACAATGCAGGTAGTATAGGCAATAATTTAAATCATCATCAATGTATTAATCTTATACATTATTCTTTACCTAGTACCACCAACATTAAGATGCATTATTTCACCATTGTGTGGAGGTAACATGGTTCATCAGCCTTCTAAATCTTGCAGTTGACGAGAGTATTTGATTGCTGTATACTAAACAAGTTTAAAAATCAGAACGGATTATTGTTTAATTGCATTCTACTTGTGTTATAACAAATAATTAAATGTACATTGTTTACGTGGCACGTTTGAATACTAAAATAATTTTGTAAGCCATTGGACCATAGTAACAATACAATACCTACTTACTATTAAAGAATATTGTATAATGTTAAATGTTAATTACTGTTTCTGTTGACAATGTTGACATAAGTTTAGTGCTATCTTCATATTATCTTCATATCAGTATATCACGTTATCACAGAC